TCCCAGTTTACTGTCTTTAAGCTGATTTCTTAAAATGTTTAAATATTTATATTTATCAAGTGTGCCATCGATGAATAGAAAATTTTCTGTACCACTGGCTGCCATGCACCTCACACCACAATGGAACCACCTCCGTGTTTTACTGTTTGATATAAGTTCTGCATCTTCAACTCTGCGTTTGGTGTTCGTCATATATAATTTCGACCATCTGACCTAAAGAGATTGAATTTAGATTCATCAGAGAATATAACTTTTTCCAAAAAGGCATTACCCTTGTTGATATAATTTTTTTTTAAATGTAATCTTTTCTTCTGATTCGCCTTAGTAATGTAGGGATTCTTTCTTGGTATCTTACCGTGGAAATTATTTCCCCGAAAAATTCGTTAAATAAATTGGGGATGAACTTGCTTACCGAATACTTCATTAATCATACTTAACAATTTAGGAGTGGCAGTAGCATATTTTTTTTTTGAATTTCGTGAATGATAGCATTTTCTTTTCTCTTTGTCAACTTTTTTTGGGCGACCTGAACGAGCTTCTTCCGCAACAGTTCTTTCTAGTTTTGCCTTTTTTACCATATGTATAATGTAATATAGAATTACTCCTATTTAAAAGTTTCGCAATTTCGTTATATGAATTTTCGTCCCTATGTAATTTAAGTATTATTTCTCCTTCACATTTTTGCGTTTCTGGTTTTTACGTGTTCAACCCCTTATCATAACGCACAATTGTACACTACTCTTACTCAGACGATGTCTCAAGACCGACTGAATATCCTATTGTTTGTTTTCAGTGCTACTGTTTACTTTCAGGATTAAGATAATAAAAGAGACATCAGTGACCTTAGAGCGTTATATCACTTTTATAAGCCACTCATGTTGCGTGTTTGTAATAAATGTATTTTATACAACGCAACCGTGTTTCACGCGTGTTTTCAGGCTTGCGTTTCGTCTCGAACATAGCCGTTTCTGCGACGGCGAAAGTAAGTTAGTGGTGAGGAGTGATCGATAGTTTTTTTTTACAAAAAAAGAGCACTTTTAAGTCCTAGAATTTAAAAGTCGCCGAATTCATATTCCGCGCATGTGCATTCGCAGACAAATCTTAGGTCCGTATTCATAATCAGTGCTTGAGACGAAGCACAGTCTTAAAACCGTAGATATAGTAATTAATAATAACACATGGTAGAGGACGTCTTAAGATCGTGTTTAAAACGAAGAAATGACTCTGAATACGGGCCGTAGACTATTCGATCTTTAGTCTAACCTCAATTTCGTTTCAAAACATTCGCGTGTGCCCAGTGCTCCAGAAACAGTGAAAAACATAACTGTGTCAAACATTTTCTATACAGCAAACCTAAGAAAATAAGTGAAATGGAGAAGAACAATAATGACGAAATAATTTTATGTACACCCCCCAAACTGCGCGAAGCAGCCAAAAATGCCGGTGATGATTTGTTGTCATCAAAATAAAATGTACAATATGAATCTACATACAATACATTTTCAAATTGGAAGTAAAAATATAAAAAAAAAAGATCATCCTCCCAAACAGTTTTGCTGGCGTATTTCGACAAACTAAGCAAGAAGTATAAACCGTTCACTCTGTATTTGATCTATTCTATGCTCAAAAGCACAGTAAATATCAAAGATAAAATTAATAACAGCACATATCCCCTTCTGACACCGTTTTTGAAAAAATAATCCGCTGGATTTCACAGCAAAAATCGAACGTGTTGTCTTCGGAGGAAGTCCAAAATTTTATGACTGAGGCTTCGGATAACGAGTACCTAGCAAACAAGGTAAATATCATTTAATACATATATAAACTATTATATATAACTCTATACATTAAATACATGCAATATTTGTAGAAATACATACAATATTCAACATTTTTTTATATAAATAAATATAATATGTTATTTACAGGTCGCTCTAATTTTTGGAATTTCTGGAGTATGTCAAAATAATCAATTGGTCAACATCAGACTTCCGGACATAACCAAATAGGATAATTTGATAGTGGTTAATCTTTCAAATACGGAAACGAAGAAGCCTCGAACTTTTGTCATCAGCCAGGAATTCACTGATGTATAATTCACTGAAAATATGAAGCCCTACTTCTCGCAACAACTATAAGCGACAGATGTTTTTTTAAATCATCAAAAAGAAAAATGTATTCCACAGGTTATCGGAATACATAAGTTCTCAAATCAAATTGGGCGTTTTTTAAATGTAAATAATCCTGAGACCTACGCAGGACATGTCTTTTGTCGAACCTCTGCAACATTGCTCGCAGATTATGAAGTGAATATAGCAACTTTAACCCTCGGAGTTTTTAAACTGGGTCAAAAATGACCCAAGATTCCTATTGCCCTGATTATCTTCTAAAGTACAGAAACTAGGCTTTTTAATTTTTTTATGAGTTTTGTAAAGGACTGTACAAGGCAGGTAAGAAAATTCCTTTGAAACAGGGTTACCCCCACCCTTTCTACCAAACGATGGCCTTTCAAAAGGGGTTTTTTGTCCGCGCTTGCCAGTGTCGTTACTCCAAGCAGACCCTTCGTTGAGTGCAATACATTTTGCCGTTACTGGTTACTTTGGGTATAATTTCAGTTTTATCGAAATGTATTCTGATAGCGAGGATAATCCGAAATATGAACTAGCAACGGATCAAAATGAAGAATGAAAATTATATTCTCTTTCCATTAAATTAAATATAAATCCATAAACGTTCCATATTTAATGCAATAAAAGAGTATAAAGCTTAACAATGAACATTTTGTTAAATACAATTCATAATATACGATTAGAAGAATTTAAATAATGAATTTATTGCTTGGGTAAAAATTGACCCATTTTGGTATTTGTCTTTAAAAAAAATGTTTTGGTCCACCGAATGTTAAAACGTCATGGAGGTTGAAAGTCGAGCAATGTTGCAGAGGGATATATGTATAGAAGAGTCCATTCAAAACAAAGCTTAAATTTGCAACCATTTATCGACCTCAATAAATATGCCGTCAATTGAATCACGCAAGAAATCTGATACTAATAGTACACCGTTGAAGCGCCAAAAGAGAAATGGTGTAACAAATATAGATATATCAAGCTCAAAAAGTACAATAACTTCGCCAAACAGTGAAGGAATGATACACAATTTTACTGTTTTTAATACATAATTATAAAAATAGTAAAACAGCCTTATAACTTTTCAGTAAAATACATTTTTTATATTAATTACAAAACTTTTGTTGTGCGATAGTCGGGGGGGGGGCTGTGCCCCCCTGAACCCCCTGCAGGGGCTACGCCCCCCACACTACCACCAGGACTTCGCCCTGGACCCATTCCTCGCCTTCATTTCCCCACATTTTCTCTATTATTTTATTTATTTATTTTTTGATACGTTGTTTCGTAAAAAAACTTGTAAACAATACTTTTGTTGCATAAAGTATAGTGTGCATCACGAATGTAAGGTTTTTTACGCCTCGCGTATTTGCAATATTTGTCTTCGGTTCGCGCACGCGCTTGCCCACGACTCATATTGCAAATTTTTTTTCTCCTTGATACACAATGTACAAATTAAATGCCGTACATGTCATTGAATTATTTTGTGATTTTACTCATGTAATCTTGAGACTTTCCCCTTTCCATAGATATATTGTTTTAAACAATTTAGTTTAACATATATATATATATTTCACACGTTAAAAATCGCAAATACAAGCGTTCAAATAATTATGTTAGATAGTATATGCTTTTTGTGCACTTACTGTATTATTCTTGTACTAATGCATATTTATTCGAAATATTTGTTTTATGAAATTCCGGCTATGCCGCTAAAAGTACACCTGGGTACTCGACATATCCACAATAACAAAAAAAAAAAAACAAATCACCGCAAAATCCACTGAATAACTGACGCTGTCGGTTATCCTACCTTTTTTTGAAGGATTCAAACAAAACTATGATGGAGGGGGAAATTTATTTTAGCGACTGGTTTTACCTGAACCTTATACTGTCCGAAATTTGGGTCGGGAACTCGATGCCGGGGTCAGGGGTTAATACATCGCTATGAACGTTTTCTTCATATAATAGAAATGGGTGGAAGTTGTAACTAACCACTCCGGTCCACCACTCGACCTTGCAGACGAGTTTCCTCGGTGAAAGGAATTTATTTCGCTTGCTGTCATATTTTTTTGGTTACAAAATGTCTATCCTTTCTGCAGCCGTTCTGAACTCAAACTGAAACCTGTAGATCAATACATGAAGCATCTTTCAAATAGCCTTAAGTAATGAATTTATATCGTCAATGTCCAAGACGAAGACGCGCATTGTTACTAAGAAACAGGGTGATTATACTGATCAAATAAATTACATTACAAAATAAATTACAATACAAAGTAAATAAATTTCCTAAGACGGGCGAAAGATTACTTTTGGGTGCATTTGGTACTAGTTGTTTTATAATTGTCTCAGGCCCTTCATGAAATCAGCTTCATGATTTTGGTAGCCCACCTGATACGGTTAACGTATTTTATGGCCTCTTATTTCTTGTTAATGATGTATCGACTAAAAATATAAGTTACGAGAATGAAATCCATCTCTTTCCTGGTGTATGGATGCTTTGTTGATATTTCCAATCACGTTCCCGAACAGATACAGAAACCCTTCATCCTTTAGTCGGGTCTTCGTGAAAATGAATTATGTCTGCGAATTTCGTCGGATGCTCTGTACTTGTAGCCGAATGGCATATATCTATAAATACTATCTACGTCAAGAATGTTTGAATTTTCAAGAAAAGTCATAGGGGAACGCGAGAATTTCATGCTTTAATCGTCGTATTGTCGTCCACCAGCCAAAACACTTAACCTGCCTTGCTGTCTCATTTACGCGACTAGCACAGATTGCTTACATACACAAGTTCCAAAGAAATAACGGGAAAAAAGTGATAGGAGGAGAAGGGAAAAGAAAAAATAGAAGTCCTTCGTCGTAATAAATCGAGGCATGTAAATTCAAGAAAATCCTCAAGCATAGAGTGCAATGACGAAATTGGGCTCTGGGCCCCGTGTTTGTGTTCTCAGGCCGTGAGCGCGCCACACAAATGGGATGTTTTCACGTACCTGACGCCAACCTTCTGCGACCACTGCGGCTCGATGCTTCACGGCATCGCGCATCAGGGACTCAAGTGTTCAGGTAGTTAAACAAAACAAAACAAAGAAAAGTTTGGTCCGCCGATGTAGCAAAGTTCGCTTTTTCGACTCTAATACCGAATAATGCTCTCGTCATCTTTCAAATTTCATTCAGGAAGTTTCTAGTCCCCTGGTTTGAGACCCTTTGAAAAGATATTGTATACACATGCATCATTATTTCGAATATAAGAAAGAATATAAAGTAATAATAGAGTTAGGTTCCAAGCGCATAATAGATCATAGTGAGACTTTAAAATTTGCATTTCCGTTCATCTTTCTTATTCACGATCCTCTCTCTATTCGTTCAGAACTAGCCACTATAGTAAATCCTTAGATTATACAGAAACCACGATAGAATTTTATTCCATATGGAGACGCATTACCCATCAATTCGCTAGTATTTTTTCCGCGAGTATTATGTAATAATCGTAAGCGTATGTACGCCCATCACGCTTCTGGTATATTTTCTTATTACGTTTTCCAAATAAGAGGCGCTTCAACGGGTACCCCACCTGACTTAATGATGTAATACACACGATAGCACAACTGAAGAGCACAGCTCGTAGCTATTACATTTTCACTTCTATATCAATATATGTATATGTATACGGTTATCTGTACATCGACGAGTCATGAGGATAAATAAATTGGGGGATCGTATGCCAAAAATGTATTATAGAATTCACAGATTGATGAAAATTAATTTTCTGCATCAGCGCGTCTCTAAAAGTTTGTACAAATCTGTAATTTTGTTTACAAAGTTTTTTATTTCGTTACATATGATTATATATAACGTCAGATGTTGTCAATTAACGTTACATAATTTCTCAACTTAATTCTGTGTGTACTGTTCATTACCGACTATTATTCGCTATTCATCTTTCGCTCTATTGGCCTAATACCCTTCTCTGTTACTTATCATGTTGTATTCAAGTTTTGTTGAGAATAATGTCCACCTTCGTTGTCGCGGATTTCTCGTTCTCTTTTTTCTATAGACCCCTGTCGATTTCGAATCCTCGGTATTGTCAGCAACTCCTAAATAGTCTTTCATCGTGCATGTATCTCTCTTTACTTTGGTAGATTCGATATCCATTTACATAGACTATGTATATACTATATATTATATATATTGTAATCGTATATATATGCTAATATTATATATCTACTACGCCTAAACTGATATAATATTATTATTGTTACCTATCATTATTTCTTCAGCGAATCTGTGCCACTTTTGTTTTCAATCTATCATTATGAGCGCATTTATCCTTTTCATATCTATGTCGTCGATGAGAAACCTCATGGCTGTCTTTGTCACCGTCCTCGACCTCATATATCTACTAAATGTAGCGAACGTGACGTTTCTCAGTCGTAATAGTGGCTTTTACATGCTCATGAGAAAAGAATATAGTTCGGCAATTAAGGATTAATAGATGGCTCATAATGAACGTGGATTCATGTATTACAAGATATTAAAAGAAATCGCCAAGCACATTATTGTTTTTTTTTCTAATTTAATGATGTAGCATGCGACATGAACGTGCACAAGCGGTGTGAGGAAAGCGTGCCAAATTTATGTGGATGCGATCACACAGAACGTCGCGGTCGAATACAACTGCATATAACTTGCTCCGGAAACAAGCTCACCGTCGAAGGTAAATTTGCAATTCTTGAATTATTCTCACTCCCATTTACATTGTATATTCGTAATTTGTCCTTTTGATTCCATTACTAAATTTTGATCATAAGCACATAACTAGATACTACTAGATACACTGTAAGGTAGAGAACAGCGTGCTCAATCTTTTGAGAATTGATAACTTTTACGCTCGCAGTAAAGCAGGGTCGAAACCTCATACCCATGGATCCCAATGGACTTTCGGATCCATACGTGAAGCTAAAATTAATTCCGGACTCGGATAATGTCAAGAAGAAAACAAAAACAATCAAGTCTTCACTCAATCCTGAATGGAACGAAACAATCACTTTGTGAGTAATCCGATTGCAAAATGTGTTTCGATTACCTAATATATATGACTATTATAGTGAGCTAAAAGCCGAAGATAAGGATAGACGACTTTTGATCGAAGTGTGGGATTGGGACCGAACATCTCGGAATGATTTTATGGGTTCCTTATCGTTTGGTATATCTGAACTAATCAAAGCTCCCGCTAGCGGATGGTTTAAGCTTCTGACCCAAGAAGAGGGCGAGTTTTATAATGTTCCTGTTCCCGAAGAGGGTGTGGATCTTGCTGAACTCAAGACTAAGATGCGAGTACGTTCCATCATTTTTTTCGTTTCGTGAAAATATAATAATGCTATAGTATTATATAACTATAGCTACTAGGGAATCATCGTATTATTGTATTACTTTTGTAGAAGACGTCAATGACAAAAAAGACCTCCATGACCCAAGATAAAGACGTACCACATAATATGGGAAAAAGCGATGTAATACGCGCCACAGACTTCAACTTTCTGATGGTCCTGGGTAAAGGCAGTTTCGGCAAGGTACACATTCCCATGGCCAAAGCCCAGGAAGAAGTGTCGCATCATGATTCAAAAGAATGAGTTTTATAAAATCTTAATTTTTTGTTTAGGTGATGCTGGCTGAACGGAAGGGCACGGATGAACTGTACGCCATAAAAATTTTAAAAAAAGATATCATTATTCAAGATGACGATGTTGAATGCACAATGGTCGAGAAAAGAGTATTAGCACTCTCGAGTAAACCACCATTTCTCGTTCAGCTACACTCCTGCTTCCAAACAATGGTTAAAATTTTAATCCTACTTCGTCATACACCATCTACAAGTACATAAAAATGATTATTATTGCAGGATCGTCTATATTTTGTAATGGAATATGTTAATGGTGGCGATTTAATGTTTCAAATACAACAATGTGGTAAATTTAAGGAGCCGGTCGCAGTGTAAGTGGGATGTAATAAGCTAGAGTAAATACATTAAGAAAAGCTAAACACAAGGTGGATAATTAAGAATTCAATATTTTAGATTCTATGCATCAGAGATAGCGATTGGTCTCTTTTTTCTTCACATTCGCGGCATCGTATATCGTGACTTGAAGCTCGATAATGTCCTACTGGATCAAGACGGACATATAAAGATTGCGGATTTCGGTATGTGTAAGGAGGGAATTACAGGGGACAAAACTACAAAGACATTTTGCGGAACACCAGACTACATAGCACCGGAGGTGAGTCTATCAATATATTTTAATGAATGGGATGGTGTTACAGTACATTTTTAATATTCTTATCTTAATACTTTCGTCTGTTATATTACGTATGTTAGATAATTCTCTATCAACCGTACGGAAAATCCGTAGACTGGTGGGCGTACGGTGTCCTGCTTTATGAGATGTTAGTAGGCCAACCGCCATTCGATGGTGAGGACGAAGAGGAACTTTTTGCAGCCATTACCGACCACAATGTCAGCTATCCCAAGAGTCTTTCTAAGGAGGCAAAAGAGGCCTGCAAAGGGGTGAGATTAATATGTATTTCCAATTTAAATTTTTTCTTCTCTTCTCTTTTTTTGGATCTTGGCAATTATTTACTCATTTTTATTTCGCAGTTTCTCACAAAAAATCCCAGCAAACGACTTGGTTGCGGTTTTCGTGGAGAAGAAGACGTACGTAGCCATGCATTTTTCAGGCGTATTGATTGGGACAAGATTGAAAATCGAGAAGTTCAACCGCCATTCAAGCCCAAAATAGTGAGTATTCTTTGATTGATCCAGAAAAAGTAGAAAGTAGTGAACTAGTGAAACTAAACGTGAGTGAATATTTCGACAATTAGGTATACGCATTTTTATTTTTCTCTTGTTTAGAAACACCGAAAGGATGTGAGTAACTTCGACAAGCAATTTACATCGGAGAAGACAGATCTTACGCCAACAGATAAACTTTTCATGATGAATTTGGATCAGACTGAGTTTATGGGTTTCTCGTTCCTTAATCCGGAATTTGTTCAACACGTTTAATTCACCCATCTCTCTCTCTCTTCTCCTTCCCTCCTCTCTCTCTCTTCCTTTCTCTCTCTTTCTCGCTTTTTTTCACTCTCACATTGTACCAAATATTTTAGAAATTATTAATCAGTATAATTAAATGGATAAAAGGGTTTAGTAAGGTTCTGCCATTTAATTCAACGTTTGCCATAATAACTTCACTCTAAAGATTATGAGATTGTTGATTTTTTCAATGTATTCAATAATTCGCTAGAATACTGCGATCGTGCAGTAATCACGCAGTCATCAAATAACCATTAAAAGTAGGAATGGAAAAAATGAAAAGTTATCTATGATAGGAAATATGGAAATGATAATGACGAATTTACACCAAGAATAGGTTCGATCACAACATTAAGGTGATAAGTATGGAAAGTATGACAGGTATGAAAAAATTGCATATTTCATAATATACTTTCACTTTATTACACAGAGAAAATAAATGCTAAAAATTCTTGAAAAATTCATAATAAAAATTACCGTGAAAATAGTAGTCTCGGGACATTTTGTCATTTGAATTTCCTTGATAATAACATTAATCTTTTGTTTGTCAGAAATGAATTTTCCCATCAGCATGGTAAAAAAGTACAGCCAATAAATTTCTACATAGAGTATGGTAAAATTTGCGTGCTCACTATTAAAATTTTATATAAGGTAAATGTTTTTGATCACCTTAGTACCGTACATACTTGGCCATCAAATTTACATATTTGTGGCCCTAGTCATTAAATCTTTAATCGTCAGAAATTAATTTTCAAACAATCACGTATTAAAAACTTTTAGGAATATTTTAACTAATACTTTCGTAATTAATTGAAAATTTTAATATCAAACATTTCGACAGTTTACTTACTTCCAAATTGAATACCTGTCACCTGCAAACTATTTCGCTATAATTATAATATTATCTTAAATGTAGATCTATAATATAGACTAAAATGTCATGATGTCCCACGATTACCGTAACAATCAAGATATTTTTTAGCATAAAATTCTCTCAGTGTGTCCTTTACTATCGCCATTCACAATTATATATTCAATGAATTACACATACACAGACGCTCATGCGTGTACTGACATACATGTTTATTATATATATATTGAGACGTTTCATGATTTTCGAGGATTAGAAATCACGAGATTTTTTGAGGGATTTGTGCACTGGACAGGCGTCTTGATAGGAAATAACACTTGATCTTTAAGATTAAATGATCTCGTTATATTGTCCTATAAATTACACTCTAGAAAGTCCTTAAATTTCTATTTCCACTGTCTCGCACACACGCACTCTTATAATTGTTTCCAGTTATATTATCGTACCGTAGGCGACAAGAAGTGTGTCCGTTTACCTTGTCTGTTTATTAACTTCTAGGAGTGGGAAAGATATAACTGGTACTACAATACAGCAGATTGCACAATGAGTCCGATGATTCTAGGCCAGCTGATGATAGGGATTATAATGATTCAGAACCCATAAATGATCACAATAACCCCCGTTTTCCGAATCTCTCATCTTGAGGAAGGTTTAGACTCAGACAGCTATTAATCACAATGATATTGGGAGCTGAGTCTTTTTAGGTGGGTTGCATTGAGGTAAATCTGCAATCCTGACAGTTCTCTACTACAATAACTTCACTGCAGGATGACGCAGAGGTATTTAGGATGTGCTTCCTGAGACTAGGGGGTATCACAATGATTCCTGAGCCCTGATAAGGACTGCGAGGAGCTCAGACAGCTACTAATCACAATGATATTGGGAGCTGAGCTTTTTAAGGAATGAGGCTTGGTGTTTTTAATCGATTTCCGATAGCTGCGTCACAATGACTTTTCTACAGAAGATCTACATGGATAGCAGATTTCCTGATATAGGGTTGAGACACAATGCTCTCCAAGACCAGGAATTGCCAAGGTTGAGTTCCCACAGTTTGCATAACAATATTGTTTATTGGTTCGCTCTGGAATAAAGGATAGATTTCCTACTTACTTCTTGATCATTACACTTTCTACATCTTTACTGCTTCTCGTCGTCTTTTGGTGTATACGAGTCTTAACAATGCACGAGTCGAGTCGGAATCGGATTCGAGAACAGTGTCCTCCTATCGAGAAAGCCGATGCTTATATCCTCGAGAAGAATACGTTATTTTCAGTGGGGATAATGATTTTTATTCTCCCAAAGTGTAACGTCGCTTTTTTTGATTTGATAATTCATTTGTTATTTCATTTGACTAATTGGACTAGCGGTTTCTTCAAATACCGGTTTACTAGTATTTCTATTGTGTCTGACGCATGCTGGCTGATAGCACCTGGGCACTTGTGTGTTTTGATTCCAGTTACACGTTTGGATTTTGGATTCTCAGAATTTTAAAGGTAATAAGGTAATCTCTAATATTATTTGCTCATGATTGTCGCTGTGACTAATTATAGGGGAATTATGTAATATTAGGGATATAGAGGTCCTATTTTTCCCTTTCCTTTATCGGTTTCGCTGTGAGAGGTCGATAGGATTCTTGAGGAATTTTAAGATTTGAGGAGTTCTCTCAGATACTATTATGTATGTATATTCACAGTGCGCTATGCAGTCTTATGTGGGACTCTTAATGTATCCATCATCGGGAATGGATGATTAGGAAGAAAAAAGGATCAAAGATGGAGGGGTATAAGAGCGAAACGTTACAATATATGTATATACACACACGCACACAACAAACAAACAAACAAACACACACACACACACAAAGTTTCTATCAACATTTCGTTAAACGTTGCACCTTACGTAAAGATTTTTGAAAAATTCGTAGTGTAGTTGACAATACTGTAGACCAGTGTTGTATTCCCTTTCACAGTGAAAAATAGAGCTGATTGATGTCGTTTCGGTGTCGACTTATCGCAGGGATTCATTATTATTCCGGAATGAATAACATATGGCTCTCCGAAAATTGATGAAGCCAAATTGAATACATGGAGTTTGTTTTCTTTGAAGGCTCTTGTTTTCCCGTATAAACATATCACGTCGCGCAAAAGAGATAATGGACATATGGCACAGTGAGAAAGGCGAGGTCGAGGAGATGAAGGTAAATGGTCAGAGAGGAGATGTGAGGATTAAGAAAAAGATGGTGAGAATGTCGATGAGGAAGACGGCTGTGATATGCAAGGAGCGCGATTGATTACTCCCTGCAGTGGTTATGTTTTACTTCACATTATAGTAATGTATAATGTGTGTATTGTAATACAAAATGGACAATCGACTGCATGCTAATATAATCGTTGCAGTCTGCATTGATTGCATGCGAATTATTTTTTCGCGACGATAACGAGAAGTTCAGCATACCACTGTAGGCATATTTCACCGAAACTTGACGGAATGCTGTACGTTTTAATATTACAGAAACACGCAGCAAAGAGAGGCCGCAAATTAATGAAAAATTAACATAGTGTACAATTGAAAATATCGGGGCAAACAGGTTTGCCGTGAGGCAGGACTGTTCGAGCCATGCGGCGCGCATCATACGCATTCGCCATTGCAAAAGAATTAATTCTGTAGGGGCAGAACATTCAAACTGAAAATGCTTCATAGTCCCATGATTTTTGCCAGTAACTTTGACACCATTGATTAAACGGTTTACGCCGAATTTCAGTTACAGACATATCGCACTAAGTCTTTCGATTTTTGTGCATACGCTGTTTTGCAATCATACGTATTAGATTTCTTCAAATGTCATCTACATCAGGGACTCAAGTTGGCGTTTAAATTTCAAGACCTATAATTTTTCGATTTGTCTGGAACATTGCATGGAGACGATTTCGGCTATGCAAATACACGCACGCATGTACGCACGACCATTATACAAATAGACGAGGTATACCCACTGGCTGTTCTGCGCATTTAGACATTTACGTTATTGAACCCTCTTTGGTCTGACTGGCTGACCACTGGACCCTCTTTGTTCTGATTGGCTGACTTTACGTATCTTGTGTCGTCACGCCGCAACGTCAGTTTCATTTTGAGGGGCAACCTCCTTACGAATCGAAACGTAAATAAGTCACTTCAAAGTAAAACTGATGTCGCTTTGATCGTAATGTCATTGGTCCCTGCGCGATGTTGACCAAAATACAATCGGTAGGGGCTATACCTCGTCTATTTGTAACATGCGCACGACGTAAGCTCGCATCTATATTTTGTGATGGCGAAAGCGTAAGTTAGTCCCGCATGGAACGTGCGGTCGTACCTAAAAAGTAAAAAAAGTCGCTCCAGTTTCATTTTACCCTCTCCGTAAGGCGACATACTCGTAATAAATCCTGTTCGTTCGATTCTATTCTTGTACCAATCTCAAAGAGTCTTCCAAGAATATCGCTATCACACGTGTACACGTGCACCTTTTTCGATGTACGTGTCGTGTCATATAAGAACATTATCCGACTGTCGTGTTTCTTATTGTTAGTGCTCTTTCCTACTCTGTCATCTGCCGCTCGCTCACAATTTAAATTCTCCATTCATTCGTTTCCTTTCTTATAAAGAATCTTCAACTTTCGTCTTTCGTCATTTTCTTATAATATTTTTCTTGTAGGGCTAACAATTTCCAGAACATATTTTCTAGATGAGCGGCATGACCACAAAGGATAGATGTACTATTATTTATTGGGGTTGCTACGAAATGTTGTATACAATTATACTTGAAATAGTTCTTTTTGATTGTGAAGATATTGAATATGTCTGAGGTGTTGCAGATGACGGTGATGATAGTCCAAAGATTCTCATCCGAAAAAATGTACGTTGACGAAAATTCGGAAACGGATAATATTCACGGAAAAAACGTGGGGAAGAAAGTAACCACGTAACTATAAGTGCTTCCTCAGAGAAATCTTTTAGTATGAAAACTACTGGCAGAGCGGTAGGTTCGATAAGATGAATCAATGAGCCAATGAACTACTCAAAATCCAATAAGAAAATAAGACAGAAGCCATCACACACCGCGAGATCTCTGAAGAAATCGAAACAGTCTTATTGATAGATATCTTGAGACGTGTAATGGGCAAATTGGCTAATTTTCCCGTTTGCAGATAAGTCAGCGTTGTTGTTCACTTACACTCTTACTTATCGAGGAATACATGAAAAGGTTCTGAACCTTTACGTTTATTATTACGAGTAGCACAGCAATTCCAATTGTGAAAAGATCTGCTCTTTCTATAAGTTAGAATCTATTGATCTTAACGTATCCTAAGTATATTATATATTTTTAAGATGTTTTGTGCATTTATAATATGGTAATAAAGTTTCGAGTCTTGTCGTCTTACAATATTGAATATATTTTTAGGTTACATTAGTAGGTGAATTGGTGCGTAGTTTGGTAAATGCGAATGGAACACGAAACAGATATATTAATTCATACTAAAGACATTCCTATAGCATTTAAGAAAATGCTTTCTCATAGAAGTTCTGCAATTGCAGGCTGTGTAGGCTATAATTTATAGAATGTGTTTTCCTCGAGGGTGCAGGAAAACAGATGGACTCTAGGGTTCTCTACTGAAAACAGTTGTATCTTCTTCACCATATGTTTTCGTACTCAGTGGTTCCGATGCTGGGCATCAATATTAATCATCTGCAGCAGATCAAACATATCGATAAATCAGTATTTCATTTCCCATGTGAAAATATTGTACAGGATGTTCTATTTAACGAGTCGAATAAAGTTTTGGCATTGTCCGAGCAAAATCACGTTCACGCATTCTCTATTATTGGTTATTCTTATGGTTTGATGAGGATGGGGGTTCAGTAACATTTTTCGCTTCTCAGCCGATTTGAAATCTCCTGAATAGTGGGGAAGCACGGGCGTCTCCTTACTCGAGCGAAGTCACAACCGTATTCGACTCATTAGATAGGATAGCCTGTATATAAATGATATATAAATTATATATAATATTTTATATATATAAACAAGCATATATAATCTGTATATAAATTATATATAAAATATAAATATTTACTGAAAGGAAGAAATTAATACGTTTATTGGATAAAAAATTATTTTATTATGCACTATAATTTAATGAAGCGGCCCAGATAACACAACGTGTTTGGGTAAAACAGTTGACTTACTTTCTAACAAAGGTATCCTGAGAATATGCTTTAAATTTCCTGTTAAATAGAAATAAGGAAAATAATGCGAGCAAATATGCAGCAAAATCTCGGCAATAATTGCAGAAAACGAAGTAGGTTCTTTTGCGCTGTTATCCTCGAAAATGTATGTTGCGAAAATGTTAGAAAAAGTAATTATTTGAGCAAAGTAATTTTTTTTTTTCATTAAATTGTAAGTAAACAATTATTTTTCAAAATTCACGCGATCCGAAGAAAAAAAATAAAATACTTGTGAACTTCTATTATTGGAATTATAATCAGAACGTATCTAGTTATTATAATTGGAATTATAATTTTTGGCTAAATAATAATTATTAAAATAGTTTACTAACAAAATAGAATGTCACTTTCATGCTATTGAAACTGTTTTGACTAAGAAACTACGAGATTTTTGGTGGTTACGGACATCTTACCTACAGATTAATCAGATAATTAGATTGAGATAACAAAATTATATACACAATAAAATAGCGAGATTTCACATTATTAAATATTCTATAAGATGGAATTACGAATACTACTATAAGAATAATTTCTTAAAATTGTATCATGTACGAAATTTTATTCAGATTGAGACAGATTTTTAAAAAGCTTGAAATTCTTAATATCGTTATTTTTTTCATAAACCGATAGAGATTTCAGCTACAAATGTATTATACTTTCTATTTTGTATAGCCTGACAACCAAAGAGTCTATGCATTTCCATAAACATTTTGTTCAATTATTTATTCGGTAAGTAGACTTCAAATTTCATATAAATATTCTTCGAATGTACAGTAATAATTATATTGTAACGTCCAAATAACGATTGCATACTATCGATAAAGTAGGAATTTAAAAACCGATTCATTCTACTTTATCGATTTTTAGGTGGCCTGCTTAGGGGTCAACGCTTAGGGTTGCCTCCTTCCAAAATATTAGCGGGGATCGACTTGCTACTTGCGCCTTAAGGTAGTTGTCGCGCGACAGTCATGTTAAAAAATTTATTCAAAAAAAGAACAGAGACATTCAATATCCATGATAATACTGCAATGAAATATCCTTTAAAAAATAAATTTAGGGTTACTAATTAACGTGGTTGGCGTTAAAGTAAGTTTAAAATGGATATACTTTTGAAATCGTACAGGTAATTTTTCTCACACACATTGAAATATCCGTTTCATCTATACGGAAACACACAACGTTCACGATAATGACAACGTTGTATGTGATGATAAACCATGAGTTACCAACGACTAAAAGTTTATTAAGAAAATTGTTTCCTTCTTTGAATCATATGAGTGATTTTTCATTATCATCAATTTTATTATTGTTAATATTCATAAAATATTTATATATTTGTTACTTTCTCTATCTTCTTTGCGTTGTCTTTCTGTTCATTTTGAGATTTCATAACAGGTTTTTATTTAAAATAATAAACAATGAATATAAGAAAACCATTGGGCATGATTTTACAATCCAAATACAACAAGATTCTGCATTTCTTTTTTCAATTTAACATCGATAATGTCGAATTATTTGATACGTTCGCGCGCGTTTTATTCCAGGCACTTGGTTTTGGTAGATCGCACTGTTGCTACGCGATTCACCGCAATTTTGTCAGGTGACGGAATTCGAACGAATTTTTCGTTTTAACTATTAATATCTTAGAAACGAAACGGTAAACAATTTAGAAAATTTTATTTCATCTTTTTATATAAAATCATCATACATTTTTTTATCAACATCCCACGACTCGTTTAGATGAAAAAAAATGAAATGTGTTTATCGTACACTTACTACATAGGGAATTCACATAAAAACTGTAAATTTTGACATTATTTTCCCATACTTCTGAACCATTGGGCATGATCATAATCTTAGTCAAATTCGGCTCATTTTAAAGGTATTATTTCAAAGAATTAGGCATACAATTTTTGAACAAACCTGACGAAAATTATTTTACATGACATTACCTTAAGATATTAAGAATCATGTAACTTGTAGATAAAGGTCGAGTAGTTACCGACGGTTGATACGAACTCAAAAACTACAAGGTTTATGGCTGTTGTCTTCACCTTCGGATAATTTTTATCTAACGGATAGCTATCATCTATACAAAGAGATATCTTCCGTATAAAGTTAACGGAAACTTATCCGACAGTAAAGAAACCGGCCATTATGGGTATTTGGATCCGTATAAAGGATAACGTTTTACTTTTAGGTTCAAAATAAAATTTTCAGTCTAACATAAAAATAAATTGAGAGCAATTGTAAAATAATGAAATAATCCTTGAATTGAATATGGCGATAGTTATGTAGAAAAATTTGATCATTAACAAATTGAAATTATAATGTAACACAATAAAACTTAATTCTTATTACACTTACAGTATGATACCTACGCTTGATCTTGAATAACGTTCCCTTGCAAATGTTGACTCAAATACGCATATGTTTTAAAAAAAATAATAAATTATAAGAGGTTTTAGGGATTGGATGAGTACGGATCGCAATAAATTCAAGACAATATTCCTAATGTAAAGAAAACAAAAAGCAGCTTACAGTTATTAAGAGGATTCCTAATAAGGTGTACAAGATTAACCAAATGAGGCTACAAATTCTGAAATTACCGACAAAAGACTTAGAATGGACTCAGAATCTCGACTTATACTCTGGATTTAAACTTAGATTTTTTGTTAGGTCAAAGGCTGCTGTGTCTTCTGACTGAACTCGACTGATTGACTTCTGAACTGCGATTGACTACTGACTTAACAAATTTTAAGTTGCGTAGCGTAGATGTGATTCTTTCTCCCTCTCCCTTTCACTCTTTGAACTCGGTATTGTTACGACGATTATACTTGTTTATTTCGGCTCGAGTATTTTTAAAGTTTTGTGATGTAATTAAGACGTTTTGAGCAGTCTTTTTTTGTTTAGTCGTGTAAATGACTATTCATGTTGATTACTGATTGATTTTCTTGTGTACCTACATTATGCAATACAGTCATCAGAAGTCTCCTTAGGTTAACCGTAATTTTTCCACAGTAATATTGGCACATTCAGGGCCTTTAGCTATGCATCTGTGTATATATGTATAGTACTTATTGCGTTATTGTTATTGACTGTGTGAGTGTATCGTTTCTCCCACCTTTCCTCTATCATTATATATTTATATCTATAGATTAAAATGTTGACAATGAATACGACTAAGACGACTATCGTCGGTAGTTCAATGGATACCTATAAGTGATGATCTGAGACTGTGCGCAGGGTGAGATACAAGTGAATACCCAGTACGTCGCTATCGAATTTTCTATTTGGTGTGGAGCGCAGAGCTAATGTGCTCAGTAAGAGGCGGAACGCTGGAATTCTTCTTGGAAAAATATCTTAGCTCCGTCATAGTCTCGGTGCGCCAAGGTGCGTATCGAGGATAACGGTTGTGAAACCTGGGAACCAGGTACCGAAGGCCCGGGTATCGACGACCAGATTCTTTATTGTATTTGGTGCGCCGTTTCCCCTGATCAGGTCGGAAAGATTAATAGAATTTTTTATTTTGGGAAAAACCTGGTAAAACATTGGACAAGAGGAAAGAATAGCGGAACTATTTACACCAGGAAGACTCCCGGAAAATACAGAATATAAGAAAGTGCACGAATATGTCTGTGTGTGTGTGCGTATGGTAGTACATGGGGACGTAACCTCACAGATCAATAAACATGGATGCTTAGCACGCCTGAATATTAAACATATTCTGTGTAATTATATTCCTCAAAAATCATCCTGACTAGAACAAACCTAACAAAGTGAGAAGGAAATAGGATCGCTCACAATAATTACTCTTATTATTTCTTGCAGGTTGTTTTGCACTATTGAACTACTTTTGCTTAGCTTATTCTATTTCTCGACGAAGATGGCGCCAAGGTATAGCATATGTCACCATGTAGTTGCGGAAGAAGATGTAGTAAGACCAGGAACTGACTGTGATCACATCTTCCATCCCGTGTGTTAAGGTCACGTTGTAACTCGCGACATCGAGGTTGGCAAGTGAATCTATAACTGAGTGCTGCCTGATCTGCACGCCGCCTGGACCTGATTCTACGAAACCGGCTGCTGTTATCAAGAGATTCGGTCGAGGTTCGCGCCAAGTACAGGCAACCCGCCGTACAGGGCACGAGCCGACGACACTCTTTACTCGAAGCATCTGTTGTACTTGTGTTTCGACTCAAATATCTTATGAACGGCTATATGTGAAAAAAAGTTATTGATAACATTCACTATAGGAATCAAGGGTTCTGAATTGATTGCCAGCAAGTTCAATACAATAAGTATACGAGATCAGGGCATATTCACATGGCGAGCGAGATGATTTTAGTTCAGGTCCGTTGTCGCAAAGTGCCTCATTCCCGCAATGCCAAACACGTGTGCAAAACGGTTACTGTGCACATTGTAATTCCACGTGTAATATCGCCGGATTTGAATTCATATGTGATGACCTCTCAAATGACGCTCGCCGAACACGCCGGACGCTTTGCATCGCAATCGCCAAGCCAAGCCAAACAATATTGTTTATCCAAATACAATTTTTTAATTAATTTTTTTTATTTTATGGGGGCTTCTCGCCCCCCTCCGCCCTCCAGGGGCTGCGCCCCTGGCCCCTCTCTATGTTGTTTGCTTTGATTTTCACGTACTTAATAATTTAATATTACAAACGAGTTACCGATGGTGTCGAATTTTACGCAGCTTGTTAGGAAAAATAGTATACGATACACGTGCGCATAGGTGTCTCCCGCACTCGTCTCTTTTGTCACCCTCGCTACGCTCGGGCGACAAACCCGACTCTTGCGGGAATCACCTACTTTGCGCACTTGTATCGTAATGTACTAATTTCAGGTTCGTCGTCGTCATTGTCGTCATCATTTTCGCACGCCTATTTACTTTTCACTCGACATATGGCGTTGACTGCTTTGCCTTCTTTAGCTATGTGTACTCTGGATGGTGTTGGTAATTTACGAATACACAACACAATCAAATACATTTTATACGTGAAGCTACCGTTTACACCGAATTTTCAATTAACATAAAGCTGCTTTCACGACAGTATAGAATTATTGAGTCTTTAGCCCGCACGAATAGTATAACAAAAATTCATGTGGAGCGCGCGTGTTGAGTGTACGCATGTGTGTGCTTCGACATAGCTTCTATGTCCCATTGAGCAACAAAAACTTGTGATATCCCACAAAAAAAACACTTACGTGTAAAACACTACGCCAAGTACAGGAGTGCTGTGAATTCCTTCAATAAAAAGTATTGAAATCATATTATTGAGTCCAAGTACATAAGTCAGTACATGATTGCTTATTATATGATCTAGCACTGTTCCATCATTTTAATTGTATTTTCAAAATTTCCTATAACGTTTTTGCCGCTCTTTTATATTACTGCTGCTTCTCGTAGTTAATTATGATTTAATGGTTATTTAATAATTTATAAAACTTTAGTTGATTCCTTATCGAGTAGGAGTATCCGCCAGTACCGGCCGGCATCTAGTACCGGCCAGTTGCTAGTTTTGGAATATTTGTTAGAAATAGCGCTGTGATGCCTACTGTGCCTTTATTAGTACGCTCGTATAGGGATATATCTTGCGCAGCGGCGAGGTGTCGCGACCTACTCGCTGTCAGTACGAGGATTTGTGTTGCGCTTAGTTAACCTACAATACACGAGTAAAGTTAGTGAGTGATTGCTGGAATTTAGAAGACGCGTTCGAAAATAATCAAACCTGGTATGTATTGACTATTTATAGTGCTGTTGAAAAATATATATTATTTAAACTTTTTTGCGTATAATCTTGTCAATAGGTGGACATCATATTTAATTACGTTTTCTACAGTATCGGCCACGAAACTGTCCCCCAGTACTGGCCACTATTTCAATATTTTTTTTAATATTGTTTTTTTGTTGTAGGTACAAGACAATGGCGGGCGATGAAAATGATGATAAAACAAAAATAAAGAAGGGCACCTGGGATCCTGATAATATGCGTAAAGCCGTGAAAAACAGGTGCTGAGTAACAAGATGAGTACGCGTCAGGCAGAAACTTAGTATCGGGTACCAACAACTACATTGAATGACAAAATTAATGCTGTCAAAAATAACAAAATATATGGCCTGGGTCCATGAAGCGTGTACTAATGTTTTAGAGCTGTCACAACAATATATTTGCGATTATTGCCTAATATAGTTATGAGTATCTTTAGTGGCTGGTACTGGAGGCCAATTTTCTGTATGTTGATTTTTCTTTAATTTAATATTTTATTAATAAAGTTGATTATTTTTAAATATATCGATGTTTGATTGTTTTCATTTATAATACAGGAGTTCCTATACACATATCAATAGGTTTTGTACATGTAACTTGTGGAATTTTTGTTTTATTTTGAATCATCCTTCAGGGTGCTGATACTGGCGGACTCTCCCCTACTACTTGGCGGGTCCGTGCATTTCTTAATATAAATTTACGTTCATTATGCCAGTCATCAAACTCAAACCCAGTGTCAACTTTCTATATAGAGCATATTAACAATAACTCGTCAAAAATAATCACAGTAAAAGCTTAATAACAAACATATAGTATTAGAATACCATTAGTACGTTCCAATTAAGTACTTTGGAATTCCTGGCACGGACCCGCCAAGTAGTACTCGATAAGGAATCACCTAAAGTTTTATAAATTATTAAATGACCATTAAATCCTGATCAACTACGAGAAGCAGTAGTAATGTAAAAGAGCAGCGAAAACGTTATAGGAAATTTTGAAAATACAACTAAAATGATGGGCCAGTGCTAGATCATATAATAAGCAAACGTGTACTGACTTATGTACTTGGCCTCAATAATATGATTTTAATACTTTTTATTGAAGGAATTCACAGCACTCCTGTACTTGGCGTAGTGTTTTACACGTAAGTATTTTTTGGGGTTTCATTGTGTGATCAAACGAACTTACCTGTGAAGTTCGATCGTAATTATACGAAGAGCCTCGTTGGAGAAGATTAATGTAGTGGTACTCGTTCCTAGAGAATTTCACAACGTTTGAGAGCTAGGGGAAAAAAGAAATTTGTACCTCTTGCTTTCCCCCTCCCAGCGCCTGCGCGCTGGCTTCTTCATGTTTTAGAGTATGTTTTACTTTCCTTTTTCTGGTCTTAGAGAAAAAATGAGCTGTCTCACTTGTATGAGAAGTCTGGGTGTACTATTGGGAATTAATAAGGGTGGAAAGTATCTTTTCGAACGAGGCTCTTCGTATAATTACGATCGAACTTCGCAGGTAAGTTCGTTTGATCGTACAATTGTACTTCGAAACTCGTCCTTCGAAGATTAATATAGTTGATCAGAGTTTTGCTCATTTTTTACTTCCCTTTTTTAATATCTGTATTTATAATGCTACATAAGAATACGTTGGTGCTCTTATGTATATAATAAAGTTTTGGCTTTCCTCTCTACTGTTCTACTCCTTTTTTTTTCCTAACAGTTTTAGCGAACTTTCCCTCTTCTGCCAATACTGTCTGTTATACAAATTTTCGAATGTTTTGAGTTTTCCGACCATCCGACAGTCTTCCTGATGGTGCCAATGTCTGCTCCTTTCCACAGTGCAGCCGATGACGCTGCATGTCTTGTACTATATTCTGTGAACTTGTCCATGTCGATTCCCGCTCTTATAGGGGCACTTTTGATCCAACGACTTATTCTTTGTGTGTTCGCTGCTTCATGCGGCTTTCTTGTCGCTATAAATAATCTTTTATTCTGTCCTCTGATTTCTTTGGTAATGTTGAGGTATTACATGAGCGCATTTGCTACACAGATTTTTGGTCTTTGCTTGCAAAAAGGTAGCACCAGATTTGGTTGTGATCCCCTCATTCTTGATGTTCTGACCAGGTCTGGTATATTAATCTCTACTCCCCTTGAAGTCGCCGTGATGCTTTCAATGTTTATCAAGGCTAGTGTTTGTATCCTGTGAACCGTCGCCAACGCAATTAGTGTTGATGTATTTCCAGAAAATCCTCTGAGGTTTCTCCCAGCCAGCTCGCCTTCTGTCTCTATGAATCTCAGGGCGATGTTGACGTCCCAGGTGACTTCAAATCTGGCCCTTGGTGGCCTTTTCCTGAATACTGATTTTAAGAATCTCTTGATCGTTCGGTCGTTGGATATGCCATGAAGCAAGATTAGTGAAGTGGCTGATCTCGTCGAGCTTAGTGGTCTGTATGATGCACCTTCTTTGAACTTTCCCACCAGGAATTCCAAGACTATCTTAGCGTCTGATTGGTATGGGTCTACTTTATTCAGTCTGCAGGAATATATGCCATTCTCTCAGTGGTCCACTGTATTGTTTCATGCTGCTTCCGAATCTGCTAATATAGAGGCTGCTTCTGTTGAAAAGCCTCGCGACGTGTACGCTTTCCGAATACAGTCCCTGCTGTCATCGTTAATTGCGTCGCTAATGGATGCTGTTGTTTCCTGCAAGGAGATAATAGTAATTCTAAATCTGGTTCGAATATGACTTGTTTACTGACTATAAGTCTCTGGAACAACCGGTACCACGGTTGTGTGGGCGCTTTCGATACAACGATTGTTCCCTTGGCCCTCTCATGTATGATCTTTTTAAGTGTGCGCAATATGAGTGCGAACGGGGGAAAGGCATAAAAGTATTTGTCCCCCCCCCCCCC